TCAGAGCCACAAACTCAAACAACCCTCTTGTTTGGGGACTGTTGATATAGGTCCAACTCTAAAAGTCTGAGTTTTGAAATGCCACTTTAGTTGCACGTATGACTTGTTTTTCCCTTGGGCAGATTATATTCCCTGAAGCTCAGCATGTTGGTATGTGTCAGATTCAGTTTCAATTTAATATTTGAGGCGACAAGAATTGCGGCTGATCTTATGTCAATTCAATTTTACAACCCTTTAGAATCAGTAGTTGCTGTAGAAATTTACCTCTAGAAGCTAGGCTCTGGGGTCAGGCTGATGTCTGTATATCCTTGTGAGTATCTTCGATGTTCAGGAGCATCACCCGTCTATAACTCACCTTGGGCACGTTGCTTTTCTGGTGCACTTAAGAAAAACAAACCTCTTTGTGCTATTTGATTTATCTATCCAATACAAAGAAAATGTCATCTTTTGGTCTTAAAGGACAGGCAGAAGGGTGTTTTGTTAGCGAAGGTTCGAGGCAGCCGCAGCTTGAATTAAAAAAAAAAAAAAAAGGAGCTGACTAACATGGTTGTGTCTGTATATCTGCAATCACCCACATGCCCAGCTGTGGAGATGACAGGTGCTAGAGAAGGGGACACGTTAGACTGAAAGAACGCGGGATGTGAGAAGTCTGCCCCTGATTCTCATGTAAATTCTCTCCTTGTTTGAAGGGATGTGCTTGCAAGCCTTTGTGGAAGCTTTCTTTTGCCTGGCTCAAAAAAGATACAAGTCACTCTCATTACACGAGCAGGTGGCCACACTGATTGATTTCTGCGAATACCAGCTCGCCACCCTGGATGAAAAGCGCCTCGTTTGCAGCCGAGGAATAATGGAGCGGCGACCGGCACTCATCACCTGCCAGCCAGATGGACTGCACCTCACCCTCGCTCATCACGCACCTCTCCTCAACCGCACGGCCGCCACCAATAAACTTGCAGGTTATAGGAGTCACCAGTTGTGAGGGAGCCGCTCCGTCGAGTTGCAAACGAACGTCAGGACGAGAAACGAACAAATCCCCGTATGCGTGTGCTGCAGGAGTGAAACACGGGTTCCTGGGTTCTTCCCTCTGCTCATCATGATTATTTATTGCAGCTTTCCCTGATTTATGCTTTTTGGAAAGGATGGCTGCAAGCACCCCTTTCCTGGTAATGACCCTCAGCAGCAGTGGCCATTATTATTTCCCCAGTGAACATACAATATAGCTGAAATGACATACTGCACCTTTTATTCTGAGTTTATGGGAAATCATTTATGAAGACAAAGGGGCAAAGATATAATGCTACAGTAACCAGCATCATGGGATTGATAGCACAGACTGAGAGGCGCAGCCTCGTCAAAGGCGTTTCACCTTCACTCGTGTCCAGGAGAAGCCACTTTTTGAGACCAGAACAACACACTTTGGAGTTACAACACGTGCCGTTGTGAAACCAAGTGGGGAGATGCAAACTGTCAAATTGTGTGCATTGGAAAACCAAGAGTGCAAATTATGCATTTAATCAAATTTTAGGCCCTGCTCCTATCTTGTGTGGATTTCACTTGAATTCTTGTTGATGCAGGTATTGATTTTTTTTTTTTTTTTTTTTTTTTTTTTTTTGTATCTGGCAGGGCAGGCCAGCAGTTATATACTGGAGAGAGATGCATTTATTTGAAAGTTAATTTTAAAACACAGAAGCCCTAAATACCTTAGGGTCTTTTTACACAACTTTTGTCACCCCCCCCCCCCCCCCC